ATTGGAAGAATTAACAGCAAGAGGAGTAAAGAACCCTTTGGAAGTAACCATTTTGTTTTCATGTGTGCAGCCACTACCTCCACAGTCCTAGTTTCTATCCTTTCACAACTGTCCTAAGACTGGAAATTTGTAGTGCACACAATGCCTGACCTTTCTACTGCCCAATTGTTGCTACAAGGAGTTCTCACCCTTTCAACATTCTTTTTTTTTGCCTTCACCTGAATTTTTCCTCCGTTTCAGTCAGAGGCAGACCTTCTCTCCTCCTTCCAGGCCATTATAGCTTTCTACCAGGACTCTTCCAGACACTCCTGCAAGCGCCAGCTCACCCATCTCTTCACGTCTGGTCTCTCCTTTTCAGCTGTCTTTATCTCTCCCTTCACAACCTGCTCAGATCTCCAGCCTAAAGATATCCTGACTTCACTTCCTGACCTCTTATTCTTTCACTATCAAACTCCTTGAAAGGACTGCCTGCCTTCATTCATCTTAGAGGTTATAGTCTGCCTTGCTGGGCTGCTGTAGAGATGTGGCAAGACCACAGAAAGGCAGTGTGAGAAAAGAAGCAAGGCCACTTAAGATGCACTCAAATGAACAGGGCCAGAATGTGGTAGGGATGAGCCCTTCAGTGGAAGTGTGGCTACATGGCTTAAAGGCACCATCCTATTTTATGGAAGAATGGTGGTTAAATTTGGTCTCAAAGCCAATAGAACTTCCATAGGCAAAAATAAGAGGAAGCCCATTTTTAACATAGGGAAATTCTATTCAACTACCAGTGATCTCTGCATAGGAAGATTAACACTTTTGAGTTTACCCATTACATAGGAGGTTTTTTGTCTGTTTTTGCTGTTTAAATATGAACTAGTTTAACAGACTGGCTTTAAAAAATGGATTTCAAGGTATGTATGTTATGATGGGAAAAAACAAAGAGTGCATATGATAGCTGGTGTCAAATATTTGAAGAATTGCCGAATGAAAGATTTTATTTGAGTTACTCAAGAAAGCCGTACTAGCCAGGCATGGTGGCACACACCCATAATCCCAATACTATGGGAGGTTGAGGCAGGAAGATTGTAAGTTAGAGCCCAGCCTGGGCAACTTAGCAAGACACTGTTTCAATATAAAAAGTAAAAAAGGGCTAGGAATATAGCTCAGCTCAAAGGTACAGTACCACATGAAAAAAGAAAAGAAAAGAAAAGAAAAGAAAAAAAAAGAAGGCCAGGTAAGATGGTAGGCATCTGTGATCAAGCAGGAAGATCACAAGTTCAAAGCCACAAATAAAAGTTAAAAAGGGATGGGGATGTGGTTCAGTGGTAGGGCACTTGCCTAGCATGAACAAGGCTATGGGTATAACAAGTCTGGGTGTGGGGGGAGAAGGGAGGGAGGGAGAGGGAGAAGGAGAGAAATAAATTAAAATCAACTGGTAAAGTGAAAAAAGGCAGATTTTTCAATTCACTGTAAGGAAAATTTTTCAACAGAGATGTCTAAAATTAAATTGGAATACCCTGAACTTCTCCGTCTTTGCAAATTTTGCAGTGGGAGCTGAATGATCTGTATGTTAGAGTCTTTCACTAAATAGTCACAGGGATGTTAACGGTGGTGGTGAAGGAGGGAAAAAGGCAAGAATGGAGTAGGAGGTTGAACTGCTAAGCTTACTAACCAATCACTTCTCCTTTGCTTCCATTTCTATTGCTAGGACTTTTCCTAGTACTTCATGGTAACTCCTGGAAAACTCCACTGTACACTTGTGAGAGAATGGGTGTCAGCTGTTAGTATGATTATGAAAATAATTTCGACCTCACAGATACCCTGAAAGGATCTCAAGGACTCCCCAGGGCCCCCACAACACACTTTAAGAACCACTGAAAAGCCATGTTCTATCAGTTTTACCTCTAAATGTCTCAAATCTTCCAGCTCCTTCTCCTCTTCATTATTTACTGTCAGCAGACTGATTCAAGGTCCTGTTTTCTTTCACCTGAACTACTGCATTAGTCTAGTATGGTTCCCCTAAGTCAGTGGTGGTGAACCTACAGCACCTCTCCGCAGTAGGCTGTTTGTTATCACTGAAAGCTCTAAAAGGTTCATTGCTTTCAGCATAGGGATTAACAACTTTACCACAGGCCACAAGCCTATGCCACCCTCTCTATTCACATCCTTTCTTCTTCCCTCTGCTCCCAGCGCTCAAGTCATGGGGACTTTTTTCCATTTCTCAAATAGCTCACACTGCTCCTGCCACCAGGCCTCTATCTACGTGCAGCATGCCCTGCCTCCCTTCGCTTGCCTCCCATCTATACTTCAGGTGGTAGGCCAAAGCTTTCCTAGCCCCAAGTTCAGGTCCCATCCCTCAGCTACACACATTCATAGCGCTACATCTCTGGTCATATTGACCACATCATGACAAGTAAATGTCCACGTTCAGGGATAGGATCTGTGTCTTTTTTGCTTCCCATACTTCTGGCACATAGTACATTGGTAATGAATGAACAAAACTGCAACTTATGGGAGAGAAATAAGATAACAAGATAACACGATAACCATTATAATGGAGACAGTATAGAGGCAAACATTTTCAGCAGCTTCCCGCTGACTACCAAAAAACCTAAGTGCAATCAAGTACACCAAGCCATTCCAGAAGTAGCCCAGAAATTCCTTTTGAGTCAGGGTCTCATTATGTAGTCCAGGCTGGCCTTGAACTATGTAGCCCTGCCTCAGCTTCCCAAGTACTGGGATTACAGGCGTGCACCACCAATGCCCAGCACCCAGGCATTCCTTCTTGGCATCCTCTATGACTCCTCCACATCCATCAGCCCATCTGGACCTGAAAGATCCATCTGGCTCTTCACAGGTGCATTCTAAAATGCTCCCCTCATTCTCCATAATCTGTCAAATCCAGCTCAGACAGCTCCTCTCCAGAATGCATTTCCCAGACCATGCTAGTTAGAAATCATCTTTCTGTGCCCCCTGTCCCCTAAGCACGCGAGATTCTTGAAGCACATCTTATTCTATTTTTTCTTTTTGGTAGTGCTGAGAATTAAACCTAGGGCCTTGCTCATGCTAGGCGAATACTCAACCACTGAGCTACATCCCCAGCCTCACCTTTTTCTTTTGAAATCATGCCTGGTAAATGCTATTTCCTATGCCTGTAATATCTGACTCTACTTCATACTCAGAAAATCTTTCTACACGTCAGCTCTCATGTTCCCTCTGCTCTGAACACCCTTTTCTCATGGGCAGTCAGTGACTGTCTCTGCTGTGTTCCCATCACCCTTATCTTTCCATAACATGTTCCATTGTTGCATTCATCGTAGCCCAACGGTTAGTATATAATGCTTGCTGAATGAAGGAAGCCATGATCTAGGTGGACTGAGAGGCTGTATTGTTCACTTTCTAGATAAACAAAAACTACATTAAAATCTTACATATGGGGCCAGGGATTTAGCTCAGTGGTTTCACCGCCTGCTGCACAAGCACAAGGACCCGAGTTCGATCCTCGGTACCAAAAAATATATATATATATCTTATGTATGCCTTTCTATACATGGAGAGTCCAAATGGCCCAGCATTTAACCACTGCCTCCATATACAAATCACAGCTTCTGCTTCGAGACAAGAGACTCAATTACTGCCCCATGTCAATCTTCACTGATTACTCTACAAAGAACAATATTGTCCATAACCCCTTCAGTCTCTACAAAGACTCTGGAAAAGAGACAAGCTGGCAGAGTTTCCCAGGCTCCAGGACACCTATATTCCAGGGATGCTTGCTCTCTCTCCTCAACCAGCTTAATGAAAATAAATCCACCAATTATCTACAAAATTTGAAATGTATTTACAGCCATTAAGCTTAGCAACTTACTACCAACACTTGCTTGGGTTCTGAAAAGTACTCACTGAGGCCAAGTCAGTGACTAACACACATTTCCTGCTACTCCCTCCCTCACTCACAGGAAGGTTCAGCAGCAGGATCAATGCTCAGGCTTCCTCAAGCTCAGCTGAGGCGCTTTAGAGAGCAGCTCAGCTTGGTGCATAGCTACTTCAATGCAAAAGGGCAAACTTGGCTTCTGGCAGCAGGAGGGGGTCTCAACTTTAGGGTAGCAGGTACAACCCTAATGTTTGTTTGTTTGTTTTTTTGGTACCGGGGATTGAACTTGGTACCTTGCGCTTGCAAGGCAGGCACCTGAACCACTGAGCTAAATCCCTGGCCCCAACCCTAATGTTTGATAAGGCTAGATTTCCCTCTTAACAAGAATTTCACAATTGAAGAAAAGAGTTTTCTTGCCAAACTATGGGAAAGGGGCTCCAGAGTAATATGTAATACTGTGTTATCTGGTATAATGCACATTCCTGACGTAGGCTCTTTTTCCGGGGAGGCCTGGCAGCTTTCCCATTAGTTAGCTATTATATACACTATGTCAACACTACTCTTCCCAGACAACCTAGTTGACTCTCTGAGTTTCACTAGTCAGCATCTTCCTAGAAGGATAAGGACTTCTCTGGCATCATAATCAAGAGATTAGAAGTCAAAATTCAAATTCAGATCTGACTCCTAAGTCCCCAGTCTTTTGGGAAAAGAATGATCAAAATAAGTGACTACTAGGGCCGGGGATTTAGCTCAGTGGTTCCACCACCTGCAGTGCAAGCGCAAGGACCTGAGTTCAATCCCCAGTACCAAAAAAAAAAAAAAAATGGGGCGGGAAGGAAAAAAAAAAAAAAAAAAAAAAGTGACTACTCTCCTGGAAGTCTTCAAACAGCTGTCTGAGGAGATGTCTTAGGGATGCTTAAAAGAAATTTAGTCACACAATTACATCATTATAAGACCCCTGAGGTCAATTTACTATTCCAGTCATTTCCCTACCCCTTCTCCCCAAATAAAAGCACAGAAGGTTGCTCTGCACAGAGTGGTGGACAATACATATTTGATGATTGTTTAATAAATATTTGTTGGAATTTTTAAAATGTGAGCAGATAAAATCGATGAGGGCAAGGGAAGGGAGTAAAATACTCACTGACAGAGAGGTGCCTGCTTCTAGGCTCGGGGGCCTGGTAGATGGTATTTATATCCCCCGCGGACTGGGAAGCCTTGATCCGCACTTGCCTGGACACCCCAGAGTGGGGAGAGGAACTGGTCTGTAAGAGAAGAGGCAAAAGGCTGAACTAGACCTTTTAAAAGCCTGTAAGGTTCTCTAGCCTTTTCCTAGGACTCCCCATACTTTCAGCCTCCTTCATACTTTTAACACATGAGCTCCCTGGCTTTTCCCTAAACCTTATGCCTCAATCTGTCTTGGTAATTCGTTATTTGCTTGAAGCAGTCTGCTTGGTGTAGCTTCAGTGATAAATGAGCACCAATACCTGGTGCCTCAGTTTAGTGGGTGATGACCCAGACACGGAGGAATAACAGGCATTCCTGTAACAACCTGCCAAACAGAAGAGAGCTGTAAATACTCTCATAAAATTCTCCAGAGAGCATAGGGAGAATAGCAGTAAATTATTTCAGCAGCAATATCACCTGCCGTGAGGTCAAAATAATGAATGATGGCAACTTCCCTAACCAAGAAAAAATTCTGGTTGCTCAATGTGTTTAAAAAGTAGCTCAATATGTTGCTTCTTCCCCAACCATAACTGATACCTTAAAAGCAAGGTAAAAAGATCTCAATTGGTCCAAAGTACCAGGGCTTTCACTGTACATAAATCATCTCAGGACTGTGCTCAACTGGGAAAAGCTATCATAGGTACCATTCTGATGGAGGTCAAAGACCTCAGAACAGGGTCAGTAGCCTTCCTGCACCCACCCCCACTTTGCACCCACCCACTCAAGTTGTCAGGTGAGCACCAGAAAGAAATCCAAGCAACAAAGGTGGGCTTTTGCATCAAGAAAGCTTAAAAATGAACATTGGAGGTGAGCAAGTGATGTCAGGATGTGATTATAAATAAGCAAAGCACTACTGAAAATGGAAATGGGAGCCCAGGATTTTTCAACAATCTGGGCCAAAGTTTCTGCTTGCTTCTCTAAAGCCTCTACCTTCCATAGGAGAGAGAGAGAGAGAGAGACAGAGAAAAAAAAGTCCACCCCAAACAATCTCTATATCCTGTCCTTCAGGAAAAAGGCTTTCCCACTCCCCAGGGCAAGTTCAGCTGCCAAGCAATCTTCTCTAGTCTCCCTATGCCAGACTTTATCACAACCAGGGCTGTCTTGACAAACTGTCTGCTGTAATGGGAAGAACCAAGGGGAAGTGACTGTTCTTGCTGAAGCCTCTGATGTGCAATAGCTCTTTGCTCAGAGTCAGAAAGGAAAAAACATCCAAAGCCACACATCAGGGAAGCAAGCTCAAGAAGGATAGGGGCGGGGCCACAGCCCCACAGCCACAAAGAGCTACATGACAAGTGTCCTGAGGACACCTGGTTGGATTCAGGGCCTTCCACACAGTGGGGATTCACTGAGTTTTGGCAGCAGGAATTTGAAATGTACCAAAGAATATCCCTTCTAAACTCTCAGCTTTAAAATAAAAAAAGCTGAACCAGCAAAGTAGGTACAACAGCCAACCCAAGCTTAGATTTGTAAAAGAAAAGGCTGAAGTTATGGCAACAGCTTGGAAAGTAGCTTGAGGAAATGAGTGAAGATTTCAGAACAGGGCTTACCACATTTTGAATTCTGACATTTAAAAATTCCCTGGAATCTTGTCAAAGTACAGATTCTGATGTGGTAGGTCTAGGTAGGGCACAGAGCTGTGTTTCTAACAGATGATGCTGGTGCTGCTGGTTCATAGTCTACACTGTGAGCAGTGAGGTCTCAGGAAGTGAGGCATGCTCCAATTTCAGGAAATGGTCTCAACCCTTGTTGCCCATCAGAACTGTCTGCAAAGCTTCTGATGTCTCAGGATAACTACAACAGAATCTCTGTGAATGGACTCCAAGCACTGGTAATTTTTAATCTCAAGGGATTATAACATTCAGCCATGTTTTGAAAAACCTCAATTTAAGGGGATAAAGAATAACATAGTAAACAAAAATGAGGTTGTTATACGGATTCACAGAATCTTGAACAAGATTCAAAATTAAGAAAAGAGAGAAAGGGGTTAAATGAAACTATATCTGAAAATAATAGAAGACTGTCATGGAGTGAAAGGAGCCTACAGGTATACAGTATGTAGCTAGCAGAACATTCTCTACATAGCAGCTAGAAGATGGTATTTGACCACTTTATAAAAACCTCAGTGAAGGATTCTGTGGGTAGCAGCATGGTCTGGCTGACACAGACAATATGAAAAATTACTGGAGAACAATATGCATAAAGAAGAGCAGTGGAGCTGGGCATGGTGGTGCACACCTGTAATCCCTGCACTCAAGAGGCTAAGGCAGGAGGATCACTAGATCCTCTGTGAAGAGTCTCTCTCCCCTTGGTTTCTACTGTCATTTTAAGACATTTAATTGGCTTCTTCCACCACCAACTCTCAGCTTCTCTCCCTCTCCTTCCCCATCTCCTTCCCCCTCCTCTTCTCCCTACCCTTCCTCCTCTCCCTCTCTATGGTATTTACACTTTTTAAAAACAAGCATAAAGTTAATTCTTAAATTTATCTTTCTGCTCTTGACCATTATCATAATCTCAAACTTAACACACTTTTGTCATTTGTATCTGAATATGATAAAAACTAAACAAATACCCAGCCTTATTTTGTTACCTCAGATTCTGACAAAAGGAAACTTCTAATGTTTTCATCCAAATGTTGTCCACTTCTCAAGTTTCCTATCAATGACTTTGGCACTATCTTACCTACTATTTAAGTTCAAACTGTCAAGGATATTCTAAAGGATAATTCTTTTTAGCCTTCCTAAAATAATGGGATAAGAACAGGAAGATAAAACTGGTTGGGCAGAGTGATTTGTTTGGTCCATGTTTAAAAATAATAGCACCTTACTTATAAAAGGTGATTGCTTTCATCTCAATCATTTTTACAACTCTGAGGAGTTCAAGGCAGGCATCTGTCATCTCCGGTGTACAGCTGGGAAACTGTGGCTCGCCCAGCCAAGACAGTACGTATATGGTGGCAGAGCTGGTCTAGAATCCAGTTGTTCTGTGTAGTCCTCTACCTATCAGTTACCATCCAGAAAAGTAACCCTAAAATTACCTTGGTCCATAAGAAACCTTGCCAAGGACCTCCACAGCTGGGTAACATTAGAACAAAAAGTATAATGCTGTCCTTGAGGAAAAGTTGTGAGATGTTGTATTGTTCTATTTTCTATGGTATAAAAGATAACTGATCTTGGAAAAGTCTTGAGGAAGACAAAAATTTCAAGGGGTTGGGGGTCACTTTTATATGTGAATAGTGTAAAAAGGACACAACTCTTTAGTCAGTAAAGACAGTCAAGCATATATATGTGATCAAAGTCAGACCTTCTGGTCAGAGGTTTAACAAATCCAGGAGTCCCCAGATCAAAACAATACTGAAGTCTAAAACATGGCTTTGGCCATGCAGTGGGAGGGATATGACTGTACCATGGTTGAGGGATAAAGACAGAAGAAAGATTAGAAGGATCAGCAGAAAAGGAATCCAAAAAGAAGAGACAGAATATTTAACAACAGGAAAAAGCCGGGCGTGATAGCACATGCCTATAATCCCAGCACTTGGGAGGCTGAGGCAGGAGGATTGCCATGAGTTCGAAGCCAGCCTGGGCTACATAGTGAGTTCAAGTCCAGCATGAATTACACAGTGAGACTGTCTCAACTCCCCCACCCCCCACCCCCCATAAAAACAAGAATAAGAAAGGAATAAGTGGTTACAAAACGAGAATGGGGCAATTACTCAAAGTAGAGAAACAAAGTGGCTGATAGCTTTCAGGGGGAACTGAAGACGAGGTAACATGGTATCTTGGAGCAGTGTACTTCAAGTGTGATCTCTGGGATGGTGCCAGACCACAAACTGTACACTAGTCCCCCACCAAGTAAGTACAGAAATGGAGAGTAACTCTTGAAAAACTTTACAGCAATTTGGCAGAGTGCTTTATGCCTATTATTTCTTATGAGTTTATTTTTAAATTTTATTTTATAACAGTTTAGTTTACTTTTCCATTTGTATCTCAAAAAAAATTTTTTTTTAAAAACTGGCCCATAACAGATTGGAAATTAAAAGAACAAAACTAATATTTCACCAGTTAGAGAAGCATTGTTCTACAAGTGAGGATTCTAACACAGCATTTTTTTTCATCATAATTTTCCTCTATATTTCAAAGCCTGACATCTATGCCAAGTGTGGTAGTGCGTGCCTATAATCCCAGCACTTGGAAGGCTGAGGCAGGAGGATCAAGAGTTTGAGGCTGGGGCCAGGGATTTAGCTCAGTGGTTCTGGTACCTGCCTCACAAGCACAAGGTCCCGAGTTCGATCCTCAGTACCAAAAAAAAAAAAA